AGCAAATGATGAATTACATAAAGAAATTGATGATTTTAAATTGTTATTTACTTGCTTTACTATATAATATGAAAATTAATTCATTCAAATTTGACTCTAAATTTTATTAAATTCAGTAAATACAAGTAATAAAAGTCTGAATACAATGGTTAATCTTAGTGTATCTATAATATTAAGATTAATAGATCATAAAAAAAAAGAATTTCTAATGCATATGGGGAATATGTAGAAAACGTTTTTGCAAAATATTCAGAATTTTTGTTTGTTTTGAACATAAATGATTATTATGATATTTATATTCAGAAACAATCTGATATTGCCAGTATGATTTAGGTGATGCATATGGTAACGATTATAGCAAATTCATATTTATATCTGATAATATTACAAAATAGAACAATTAATCTGAAAATTATTAATAATAAATTGATTGCAAAACATCTTAAAGTACGATTTATCATTGGCCTTAATGTTTCATATTATGATTGCTAGTATAATAATATAAGAAAAAAATGCTCTGATAATGAGATTATATATAAACTATTAATACACAGCTATAATGATAGATTAACAGGAATAAAAGGCAATTAGTATATACAGAACGTTATTTTTTTTAATTTTGTTAAAAATAACTTGAAAGAAATAGAAGGATATATAGATATTCTGTAAATTGTATATAACGAAGATCTGATGTAAGAATATCTTTTCAACTATGCTATTTTTATTATTGTAGATTAGTCTAGACAGTTTTATAATTATAAAACTATTGCGTAATGATTTCTTGTCAATAATGAAACTATTTCTAATTTTATCATATCTTTTTGAGTTCTTTCTATATGTTTTAAATGTTCGTATTTTACAGAACTCAGTTTTTTTAATTATATTTACAAAAGTATATTTGACATAAATAAGAATATTGGTAAGAAATTATAACATGAAGAATCGACTTAATTCTTCATATCGTGTGAATGGCTTAAGTTAAAATAGCTAAGATTATCTATTCAAAAACTTAGTCGTATAAGCAAGAATATAGAGTTTCTTTATTTGATGAATCTACTAAACAATCTAGTTATTTTAACTCTTGATATTTATATGATACACTATTGAGAAGGTGATTAATCAGCTTACAAAAAAGTTTGTATGCATTGCTAAAACAATCTTTTTTTTTGATTGATTAGAGGAATTATAAATGCATCTTATTAATGTTTTTTTCTAATATTTTTTATTAGATAAATATTAGTCATTTAATAATTAATATGATTACTAATAATCTTGATTCCTAAGTTAAAACTGTCTATAACATAATGCGATGATATACTACTAAGTTTTCTACAGCTCAATAACTGCAGAAAGAGGTACATTTCATTTTTCAATAATGAGATAATAATACATTTTAACAGCATTTTGTAAATACTGTTGACTATTAATATATACCAAAGTAGTTGAATACACTTTTTCAGAAATATATTGTACTACTTTTAAACTTATTTATGAAAATATACTAAGCATATCATATGTATTCTTTAATTATTAAATCTTTATTTAATAGTATTAACACATATAAATTATCTTCTTTAGATTATGAAGTAACTGATCATCACTTTTCACAGAGCTTTATTACTTCTAAAAAACTTAATACTACCATTCTTTGCAATTATTTGTATTATGAATATGCTAACTATTTGAATGATAGAATTATTCTTGCATGTAGATATAGTTACTATAACCATTACTTACAAAAATGTCAATTTAAATATCTAATATATCTTTAAGATAAAGTTAAAAAAAAATTTTAATGCTCTTTTAACAAGTTTAATAAAAAAAATCAGATGAATAAGAATCCATTAATAAGAATAATAACATTGCAATTGAAGATATAAATGATATAGATGAGATAATAAATGATATTATAATAGTAGATAATTTATTAGAATAAACAAAAGAATTATTTTTGAATTTATAAACAAAATCTTTTTTTCATTTAGTGATTTTTATAATTTTTACTTTTAGCTATTTTTAATTATATAAATATGATCAAATTTTTTAATTAGTTACTTACACTGATGAATAAATGAATTTATTTACTATCAATCTATTTAACTTGTAATTTTTAATATAGTAGTCTTTGATAATTACATGATTTTATTATCAAAATTCATGATTTGATTGGTTAACTATTATATCATTTTCTTACTAGATTTGAATTTTTGTACTAGGAATACTATTTAAATAATACTCTGATACTATTTAAATAGTATTATATAAGGAAAAAGTACTATATGAAGGGATATATTAGAAGGGGTGGTACTAATCAATTATAAATAAATGATTTGACAATTAAATGATGAATAATAATCAATTTATTTTCTAATGAAAAAAATTTTTTAAATCATAATAATAAAAAAAATAATTTTTAAAATAATGCTAATAAATTTGTCACTACTTTCATGATTTTTTTACTTTACTTTTCTTCGCACTTAACTTTTACTATACACATTGTAACTTTTTATTTTTCAATCTTTAATGTTAAAATAACTCCCTATATAAATAAAAATACAAATTATAAAATAGTAATAAATAAATTGTGATGACAATAAAATGTACGTGAGAAAATTGCAATCATTACATATTATAAAAGAGATTATAGTAAAAATATAATTGCAAATAAATTTAACATTAAAACTAAGCAACTTCAAAACTGAATATTAAAAAAAGAGCAACTTTTAAAAATATAGTTAGGTTTAAAACGTTTAAATAAAGATGTCTTTTTAAAATATCCTGCTCTAAAGAATGTTTTAGTTAAATAGGTAAGGAAAAAAAGGAAAAATCAAAATATAGTTTCATGACAAATGGTTTAAATCATTTGCTAAAATATAACAATAGCAAGATCAATACCCTGATATTCAATCTTTTACTTTTAGCAATAAGTGATTAGATAGATTTATAAATTATTATAGTTTAAGTAATCATTGTCATACTTTTATTGCATAATATTTACTAGATGATCTTTTTGAAAAGCAACAAGAATTTTTAGCATTTATCATATATCAACATATATAACATGATTATCTTTTAATACTTATTAATAATATAGATAAAATGCCTATAACATTTGATCTTCTAAGTAATACTACCATTGATGAATTAGATGTATAAACTATTAGTATTTGAATCACAGGACATGAAAAAACTAACTTTACAGTTGTTTTAACATGTATAGCAGATGAAATAAAACTTCCTCTTATTGTAATATTTAAACTAAAAAATATTCCAAAAAGTAATTTTCTACCAGAAGTTATTGTTTGTGTAAACTTAACAGGATAGATGAATGAAGTTTAAATACTTAATTATATCAAACATATTTGGATTAAACATGCAATAATTCTTTTTAATCTACAATCTTTACTTATTTTGGATTTATTTTCAGCATACATTGTAAACTCTGTTAAGTGATGTTTTATTAAAAAAACTAATATTGCTATCATTTTAGGAGATTTGACATCTTACCTATAATCTTTAAATGTTTCAATAAATAAAATGTTCAAAACAAAAATAAGAATTGTATATTTTTAATTTGATATTTTGTAATTTAGTGATTTAAAAATATTTATTTATAAAATTCATTATGTTTAATAAATTATAATACAAAAAAAATGATTAAATTAATTAATTATTTTTATTATTGAATTTTATAGATAAGATAAAATTATAATAAATAAATGGTTGGATCTGTAAAAGAACTAACATCTTCTAGTAAAATTAAGAAACCTTCTTATGAAATTATTGTGGATTAGATTAAAAAATCATGAAATGCAGTTAATACCTGCTTAATCTAACAATCTTTCAAATGTTATAGCATTTTTATTAATCGTGATAGATCAGAAGATAGCTAATTTTTAATTATGATCGTCTTAAAAAATCAAATTCAGGTGATGAAGTAGAAGTATCAGAATATTTAGAAGGTCAAGAAGTAGATATTGAAAGTGATAAAAATTATGATTATAGGGATTACAATAATATATAGGATGATTAATGATTAATATGATAATAGTGATAATAATTGTAATCTTTGGTGAATTAATATAATATATTATGGATTATTAGTAATATAATAAATTTTCTATTATAATTATAATTTTTTATTAAATAAAATCAAATTTAACAAATTTTATTCATACTTAATAATATATTATAAATAAATAATATAAATAAATGATATTTATTGATTAGTATCGGGATATTATTCAAAAATATTAACATTTATTTTTAAATAGTACCCTGGTACTATTTAAGGGTACTTTATAAGGTATGTACTATATGCAGCAGTATTGGCAAATTTCAAGGTTATTTCCCTTTTTTTGAAGTAACCTAGGTCACTATATATATGATCACGTGATAGATTTCATAGTAAATCATTACATGATTAGGTCATTTTAAGGTCACCAACACTGGTATACAACGTTATATAGTAATGGTCAATCAGCATTTTTAATCACGAGTTTTATTAGTTAGTATAACCCAATCAGATTATTTGATCAATTACGTAAACTCAGCTATGAATTCATTTCACATTTCATTTGTACAAAGTTTATAAGTTTTTTAAACTATCAATAGAAAAATTAACATTTTAGCATTTTAGTGATTTTGTTAAAGACTTTAAGTATGATTATTTATCACCAGAAAAAGCATGGGAGGATCTAAAAAATGCATATACTCTTTATCTTGATATATTAGAATAGACAATCTCAGATAAAATACGTAATTTTATAGAAAAATTTGATAAACATGAACTGTATGTTTTTTTTTATTCTATTAACTTATACTAATTTTAAATATTTAACTTTTCTTAATTATATAGTCATCAAAGAAGTATACTCAGAATAACTTCTTCAATTATTGTTTACAAATGCACAAAAACTTGCTGAAGGAAATTAAAAATTTGATATCGCATTTACTATTGAAAGTCTCTTAATGAGTTATAGATTTGGTTATAGCGAAAAATGCAAATGATTTCTCATAGTGTTGCATATAATACTATATCTGCTAATGTAAAGAAGGTGAAAAAAAATGTTATCTCATAGACAAAATCCAGTATGAATAATAATGGTGATAGCTCTCAAAATCTTTTTGTTATTTTGGGATTTGTATTAATTTTTTTTTTGTTAATGTTTAATGTTTATATTAAAAGTAATATTAGATTGAAATACAAATAAAGGATGAAACTGAAACTTTCACTTCTGCTAAAGATTTGAAAAGAAAGGGAGAGAATAATAAATCAAATGAAGAATTAGTATCATTATTTGATAAATCTAATGAAGATACCTTTTTGGAAAACATTAATGAAAAAGCATTAAAAAAAGAAAAGAAATTACCACTTGCAGTAATGATAGATTCTTAAAGGTAAGTTCTAATGTTAACAATAGTAAACATATATTCAGTAATCTAATTATATCTTAATAGGTTCTACTATATATATGCGCAGATGTAATTAAAGCTTTCAATAAATATCAAGATTATATCCTAAAGACCCATAGAGTCTTCACATAAATTTGAAATTATCTCATCATTTCAGTAATGGCCTGACTATTGATATATTCTATTATCTAATAGCCCTGCTTATTGGAAAGTGTTAGATTTGACTGGAGAAAGCTTGTACAATTGTAAACAGTTCACTGAAGAGAACTTACTGCAATTGTCACGGAATTTTGCTGATAATATTAAATAGAAAACAAAATCTATCATAGATTATTTTGATAGTAAGTGTACAAAAAAAGTATATAGTATTAAAAATTGAACTTAAATATCTAGCTTATGTACGTATAAGCTTTTTTTTTGCTTTTTTAGTTATTCAGTTATAGTACTTACTCTTGATTGCTATATAGAAAAAGTGATATGCATACTACTTTTCAAAACATGATAACAGAAGAAGAGTTAAAAATGTGTTTAACATTTCTATTATTTCGTAAAGTATTTACTTCTGATTATATTAAAAATATTTGTTAAGTCATTTATCTACATTTGTTTTTTTGATTATTATTTAGAATTAATATTAACTATTCTCTAAATATAAGGAGAAAAGTCTAAACTTTATCTACTATATGAAAAAGAAAATCCTTTTAAAAAAACGTGAATAGGAAAATGAGTCAACATAAAAAGTAGTTTAATTAAAATGCCTAATAAGTTAGAAGTTATATACAGAGAAGTTATGGGAGATTAGGATCTCTTGGAATTCCTACTGCTTATTGTAGGAAGCAGTATCCTCATACCTCATATTATAGAATCCTATCCCATCTCAAATCCTATCCCTTAAAGCGTAGGTATAAATTGGCTATAAAATATTGTAGAAAAATTATAATATTTTAATATCTAGTGATTAT